TATATATATATATATATATGTGTGTGTGTATATATATGTGTATATATCTGTGTGGGTGGGTGGGTGTGTGAGGGGGGAGGTGTAAGGCATTAAAAGACTGATATTTTTCTGTCAGTACATTGCAACTGAGACTTTTAATCTGCAGTCTTTTTGCGGGGTGCTGGTGCCTATATACAGCAGTCATTTTACAAGAGGTGGGGTACACTTTGGACAGGTCACATGTCCTTCACAGGGACAAATGGAGAAAAACAAGACAAACACCCAGACACATGCTTTTATTGTCTAACATTCCTTTAGCCATGACTTCATGAGACACTTTTAGGTATTTTTGTATTAGAACCCACTTAACACTTTTAGTGTTGTTCGGTCAGTAAGCAAGAAAAGTTTAAAAGGTTTTTTCTCCTCTGGTAATCTCTCCCAATTTACACATTTGTAATTACTATTCATGTCTGTATATAAGCAGAACATTCCTTATGTCAGCCAGCCTGCCACTGTAATAACCAAGTTACCAGTCAGTCAGTCAGCCAGTCAGTATTGATCCATTAAGTCAGTCATTGGGTCTGTCATATCAGACAGCAACCAGCTATCTGCTTTTTCATCCGTCCTTCTACTTGTGCTTTCCTTTTTTTGCCTCTGACCAGCAGCTTTTCCAATAAATGAGAAGATCTTGGCAGGAAGTAGTATGACATTTAGTGCATGGTCTACTATCTATGAATGACCTGAATGTATTTATTAAGGAATGACATGAACAGTGCAACTAGCAAACTTTCCTCACTTGCACTCGTGCAAGGCGTACACCTTTTCTTCCCTCTCCTGTCCTCATCCTGCTTTTTTGCTCTCTGTATTGTGTATTAAAGCTCATATTTACACATCTTCCAAAACAGAAAACTACTGTTATGGATCTGGTCAGCTGGACTTTCAATGCAATTGATAAAAAAAAAAGTTCAACAAAGCGACAGGGTCCTGGAGAGCACTCATGCCCCACTGAGACGCACGCAGCAGGATACGTCATGGATCCGTGGGGAGTTTGGGAGCTGATGCGCCTTTCTGTATTGTCTCAGGAGGACACTGAAGATGTTTATATAATTGGAATCATGATAACAGGGTTTTTGCTTTTTGGCACTGGTGGACTTGTATGTTATCGGCTATTGAAGAAGACGGCGGCAGCAGTTTCAGCCATGGCAAAACTGCAGAGCCTGTGTGAAGGTTTGGTTCATGCTCCAAGCACTCAAAATCAACTGATTTACGAGCTAAACCATAAGGTGGAAGCAATTTGTGAGAATTGTAGGCTACCTGCGACTTCTGTGACTCACCAGCATGTTGGGGATGACCTTGGAGGGGGCTCATAAGCACGGACCAGTGGAATGCCCACAAATCTGGCCATTTTGGATCGAAAGTATCAGCAGGACTCAAGGCTGACAAGAAAAAACAGTCTGCGTGAAAAAAATCAACAATTGTGGCTTATCTGAATCTGAATCCCCGTTTGGCATCAAAGCAGACTGACTTATCCAATTTCTCCTGGGATATGTGCAAACTAAGGAAAAGCTCTGTCTATTGCACCCCCCCCCCCCCCCCCCAACAACAACTTTGGTGAATGTTTATCAGAGCTGCACTGGCTGACACCAACATCTTATCAGGACTATGGACTATCTAGTAGTGCTTCATGGACAAATCTCACTGTCTTGTCATCATATGCATATGTAATGTGTTCATAAATGTGCTTACTGGTAGAGTTTTTGGATTACTTAAATCATGTCCTAATAAGGACAAGATGTGAAGAGATCTTTTTTGTTATACCACTATCCTATCCTCATGGCCTTTTCCCCTTTTCTATCTAAAACGTATTCTGAAAAAGGATAAGGAGCCGCGCTCTCAGAAGCAGCAGCAATGTGCACTCCACCCATCTTTCGAACAACTGTACAAACATAATCTCACTGTATTTCGGTACAATGATAATAAAGCTTATTCTAATTCTGATTCTGAAACAGCTATATTGGTTAAAAAAGAAAATAAACAGAAGCCCACACAAATTCATATAGTAGAGGTTCATTCAAATATACATATTGGTCATTACACATGTGAATAAGACACATGACCTTGTCACAAATCTGTGGCCATACCAGTGGTGTAGTCTACATTTTTGTAGTGGGTGTACTGTGCTTAGAAACCAATGTATGGTTAGTACAATTTAATTGTTGATTTATTTTGATTTTTAAGCATATTGAACATTTCCATATTTCTCTGATGCTTATATTTGAATAAATGTACAACAAACTTTGTACAACAATTGGCTTTGTATTAAAAACATGTTACAGAATTTATAAAATGGTAACAAAGCAAAACATGTTCAAGTATTAAGTAGTAAGTACAGAACTATACAATAATTCGCTGGATAAGCAAATGTAATAAACAAGCGCTGCATACAGAGATAGATTGTTACGGAAGCATTTAACTGCTGTTTAACATATCAATGACACATGCCTAATGGTATGTCATGTATCACTGAGCACTTTTAAGTGGGTATACTGAAATTCTTGTGCTTTTCTAGTGGGTATACACTGTATACCCGCGTATCAACAATTTCCTGCGGGATCAATAAAATTCTATCTTATCACGAAGACTACACCACTGGGCGATACCACTCCTAATGTTTGTTTAGATGCAGATGAAGCATTCCAGCATTCACTGGAATAAAACAATCACTGGAATAAAACTGTAAAGTTATCCACAGACAGCGTGGATGTTAATGTGTCTTGGTGTGGACTGTGCATCAGTGTGTTCATCCAAATGTAAACGGGCACAAGTTCATGTGCACGTCTGGGCACATGTTCCTGTGGTGTGTGTTTATGTGTTTGTACTGGCAGGAAAGTAGGGCCAGTCTCAGATGGCAGGAGCAGACATATTGGTATGTTTCAACCCATTAGCCAATAAAACCACAGGTAATCACCAAAAAAAAACTCCAGCTGGACAGGGAGAAGAACAGGGGATTGGGGGGGGGTGGACCGGGCACTTGGATGTAGGAAGGAATTAACTGTATGTGTGAGCTGGCGTGCTTTTTGCGTGTGTGTGTGTCGCTGCGTGGAGGAAGTGGCTCTGGCAGCTGCTGTTTCTGTGGCGTCAGTCCAGCGACACCTGACAACCTGCATCTATCACTACCTTATTGAGAAAGAAGGATAAAGGGGAAGTGGAAGAGGGCAAAAAATGGGGCAATGAAAGAGAAAGAGAGAGAGAAAACAACAGTGAAAATAAAAACTACACTAGGGAAAACGTACAAGAGAGAAGGAAAGATGAAGGTAAAGAATGAAAACTGTATGTAATAAACAAATTTGTCAGTAGTAAACTTGCTAAAATGCGTACAGTACGTACATATTTATATTTTTAATCCAGTGTTGATTGAAATCCTGAGGCAACAGCTTAATGCATTTAGTTCAAATCTGTCTGCTCTATTTGTTCCACCGCTCTCATTTAACATCCCAAACCGTGTCAAAAGTGGAGAGAAGAGATTTAAGTTTAGAAAGAAAGAAAGAAGAAAATACAGCATGAGAATGGTGGGACTAGATAGCAAATTCACATGACACAGTCTGCACAATGGAGATCAATTGTCATGCAGCAAGTGGACATATGCACACACCTCAAAATAAATTGCTGAGGATTTACAGCCCTCCTATATCTCCCCGTTTTTCACATACACAGCCTTCAAAAACAGATCGGCTTTGGTTTGCCACAGTGTACCATTAGACTCACAAGATGGAAAGGTACACACACATGCATGCATGCAGAGGGAACATTAGATATCAGATATAAAGCACTTGATTTCCAAACTATTTCCATGCTATGAAGAGTGGTGTTTAAGTCTGAGCTTACAGAAACTATACGGCTAAGTGACACATACAGTAGATTCCATATTTTTATACTTTTCTAAGTGTAACTGTAATTTAGGCCATCAAAATGGACTTTTTACAAGCATACCAGTATTACAGGGTGGTACATGTGCAGTTTGAAGTATTAGTTTGGTGTACTGTAAATAAAAGTTTCATAAATATTATTCCTGTCATTTTTTTCACTCCAATATCAGTTTTTAAAAATGTTTTACTTCCATCCTGAACTTGCTTCCACAGTAGCACAAAGCAGTTTTTATTTTATTTTATTTTATTTTATTTATTACACGTTCCTGTTTTTCGTTTTCTACATTTGCCTTATAATGTAGATGTTTTTATTTTCTGCCTTCTTATTTTAATTTGTAAAAAAAAAAAAATTTAAATCAGTATGCCTTTTTATAATTGTCTGTTGTTGTCACTGTTGTCCATTGTTGTCATCATTCTTTGTTGAAATCAGGTCTCTCGTGTAAATGAGTCCTCGAGGCTCAGTGGGATTAACCTGTCTAAGTAAAGGTTAAATGAATTTCATTTGTATAATTCTTCATTTTTATTGTGCAACATATTGTATTTGATTTTAGTACTGCTTGCTCTCAAAATGCCTCTTCATTTTCATCAATGAGGGCCTACCTGTTTCTTTGAAATAGCAAGGCCTTTAACTGAGTGCCCATTAAGCCAGGCGGCTCCCGTGTCATTAGCACATTTAGGCTCACTGCAAGGGAAGTATCCCTCTTAACAGCAGAATTAATCTGGTCCTCCTGTATCATCAGCATATAAGGGCTGGATGTGAGCTAACTAGTCCCATTAGTGGCATCTATTAGAGTGTAAGACTTCCTTCACCATTTAGCATGTTTAGCCTTTAACTAACAAGGGCAATTAAAGAGTGTCTTTTCACCCATTAGGAAGTGTTTGAGCATTTAGCCTTTTCCCAAGCTAACTAGCTCCCTAATCAACCCAGTAATGAGAAAACATCCTCTCCACAGCTGCAGTCAATAGTAATCACTGTTTACTCTGTTTCAGAGGGAGATGTATCAGCTCGCTTGGCCACTGTAGCTGTCAGATGGGCATGGGAGGAAGAGATACATTTGTTTTTGTTTAAGATCTTAGCATAGCTATTACTGCAAATGGATTAAAATAAAACAAACAAGCTAAATAAGCTCCAAATTGTTACAGCAAATCCACTAATTGAAGGTGGTAATGAATAAAAGGGGATTTTGTTTTGGTGTCTTGTTTTATATTACAACATAAAATCTCTGTTTTTCTGATCTTTATGCTTTAAGTTTCAGGGGTCTCACAGGTTGTCTCCCTGCCTGTCTGTCTGGCTCTTGATGTATCTATCTGAAATGAAACCTGTCCCTGTGTTCTTCTCCAACATGTCTACGTGCCACAGGCAACATTGAGTACAGCTGTCCAGCCACCAACGAGTGTGAGATCACCAAGAGGAGACGCAAATCGTGCCAGGCGTGCCGCTTTATGAAGTGTCTGACCGTGGGCATGCTGAGAGAGGGTAAGGGAAAAGGTCTCTTCCTTATTTTTCTCTTACCTTGTTTATATGTAATATTTTAAAGCTTGTTTGATGTACATGATTTAAAAGAAGCCAGGCCAAATAACTTGTGCCAGTCTAAACATTTTTTTTTTTTGCATCATGTCAGTGATACTTACAAAACTTTTAATTCTAACCTTATACAGAGTGCAAAGGATTAATGCTAAATGTAGTCCTAATTTAGAGAAATATTGAAACAAACTATTCCATAATTATAACTAACTACTGCAAAATTTTATTATGAATGAGCAACAAATACAACAACATACATATTTGTGAAGTACTCTTGTAAATCAAAGTACATGCAACAACCTCAAGAAACCATTCCTCTACTTATGAGACTTTTCTGTCATATACTTGTGGTTGCTTTCCTAAACTTGTTTCTATTTTTTTCTTTTTATAGCTATTGTGTTCTTACTTTTTTCTGACTAATTAATTTTTATCACATCTTGTTCTACTTACCTACTGAAACCTAAACCTAAAAACATGAGTGTACCTGTGTCCACGTTAGGAAACACTTCAGGTTGTAAGTGATTAACATTGCATGAATTCTCTTTCACCTTGACAACACAAACTGCACAGAATTATTTGTAAAAAAAACATTATCTCACTGGGTTGCAACCTATTAATAAACCGCATTCATGAGGAAATCTCCAGAGCATCTTTTTGGGGGGGGTTCAGCTAGTTTACGTAAGTCGCTTAAGACTAAACGCCTGTCCATTGACAGACGTTTAGGGTCTTTTGAACATGTTAAAAAATGTGTGCAACAACTTTTCCCTCTAATTAGTCACAGAGTTGTCAAAGGCATCCCCAACGTGTCTTCAACCCATCTGAATTTTTCTGTGGGTGTCTCCAACCTATTTCAGGAGCGCTAGACACTCGCATGGGAATTCACCTGACAAAAAAACTTTCAAGGCAAATGTTCAGGTTTAATAAGCACGCTGAAGATAATTATTAATTATTAAAAAGCTGGTCCAAATCTGCCTGTCTTTGTTTCAAAGATGTACTCCTACAATTAAATAATGAATGGGGGTGGGGGGGGGAGCTGCTAAGATGCGTACAAATCGAGCCGAGGTAGGTAGGTGGGCGGCGATGGACAACAAAAAACTGGCACGGCCAAGAGTGCAGTTATGCGTACAGTGTGCACAAAAATGGGCCATTATTTTGAAAAGCTAGCCAGGCAGAACATGGTTGCATGGCACACTGGTCACCTGAATGCAAACACCGTCAAACTGTAACACAAAATGAAATTATTTTCATGCAATTTTAATCCCAAATCTGAGTCACCAACGAGTTTCTGAACAGTCACAGCCCATTGAAAAACTGCCTTAAGAGTGAACGCAGTCAAAGGCCTGCCTCCAGACTCCGACTACACCTTTGTTTCACTTCACATAAGGGAGATTAAAATGCAGACAATAACTGATTCTCTCAGCACTTGTTCAGCGATGAACCAAACCAGAAAACAAGGGAGATCATCTGCCCTATTCACCGCTTTGATTAAATACACTCACTCACTCATTTTCACATTCCCATGTTGCTTTTTGCTTCTTTCTTTTTCTCCTGTCTGCCCACCTCTGACCTTTCTACTCCCACTGCTCTCCCAACTATGAAAAGAGG